TTGGCCTATGCGTGTCATCCTTATACAGGGGCTACATCACCCCGGCGCGGCTGATCTCGGCCGCGCGATCTCACAGATCGCACGGCTGAGAATCGACCGCCCCCTTTGTCAAGTCACGGGCTGCTCCAAAAAGAGCTAGCCCGGTAGTGCAGGTTGTTAGGTTCGATCCCCATGTCTGTGAGGTAGTAATCTGGCGACAGTACCTACTGGGCTAGCTCATTTTCACATCTGAAAATGAGCGGCCCTTCCATATGAAGGGCTCCTAGTGCCCAGCAGGCCCCTTGCTAACGCCTAGCAGGCTATGCCTACTAAGCCGGCTTATTACCGCGGCTGGCAGGCGAGGCCGGCAGCCAACGGCCTCAACGGCTGCCCTATCCAGCCGGCCTCGACGCCTTCGCCTCCGGGTCCCCGACACATAAGCCCTATGGACCCTAAACCGTTCCTTCATGCCGCGATCCTATCTCGTCGCGGCGTCCCCTTTTTGGCCTGCTTAGGCCCTGAATCGCGACCTTATTATAGGTAGAGTGGGCTCAACTTTAGTTTTCCCATGACCGCACACCAGCGCGGCCTCGTCGTAACCCGCGGACGACAATGCCGACCCCCGTTATCCCGCACGGATGTCGGTGTCGTCCTGCGTCGACGACGTCAGGTTCAAAAAGTTCAAGTCTTTCAGTCATAGCGCTGGTCTGGATAAACTCTGGCAACGTCAATCTCATCAAGTCTTCTAATTAAGTGAGAAGGTCAGACAGCGTCCGACGTTGAAAAACACGGGCAGATACCCTTGTCAGGGTTTCTGCCCCGACAACAATCCCGGGCCCCATTGAACGACGTCCACGTCGTTCACGTGGTCGATACTTCTCAACATAAAGTTTTACAAATACCTCTCTTAGTATCTTTCAATAATAAAATCACAGATACTTTAACAAGCGGATATCCGAAAAACGGACTTCTTACCATTAAACGAGTTATGCCCTCGAAGCCAAAACTTACAATTATTCTGCATTCATCGGTTGGGTACCAAATTCAGCCCTTGGAAACCCAAAATTTTGAAACTCAGGCCCATATTCAGCCCCTGGAAGCTCAAAATTCAAAGGATTTAGTTTTCATACTTCTGGCTAACAAAATTCACTTGGTTGGAAAACATTATTTTAATCATCCGGGCAAGCCACCATCACCGCCGGGAATTTAACCCGGGTCTCTCATGTCCATGGGGATGCATCCACAACACCTCAACACACCCACGTGTCGCCAGAAGTTTAACCTGGACCTCCCACGTAACACAAGGATACTCGTACTATACTACAGTCACGGTTGTCGGGGATGATAATAGCAAGGCTCCGACTTTCCACCATCCCTTCTGGAAGTCCCGTATTAACCTTCAGCTAGTTCCCAGAATGAGCCAGGAATAGCCCCTGACAGGCCTCCATAACCCAACCTATGATAATCGTTCAGACATGATCTGAACTAGTCATTCAATACAAAAACCTTTTCTTTTTGTCCTTTACCTGAGTTCCATAACCCATCCGATTGTGCCACTTTACAAATACCCAGGATTATTATGTTCTAATATCCCCAAACTCTATGTGACTGCGTCGAGGAGTGGTGTAATCCTCCACAAAGGATAACATCTCGACATCAAGCCCCGCTTTAGATTCGAGCCTCACCACATTCCCTCCGATTCCAGTATCGCAACCCTGTCAATGCCACGTCTACAGGGAGAGACAACCCCATCCCTAGAGTCCAAGTTGGTCAAACGAGGATCATAAGGACGTGGCGACCCTGCATATCACAAGGATGGACAACCAACCCCACCCCTCTGATAAGCAGCGATCGCTTCCCACCATAGGCGAGGTGTCAACAAGATTACGACACCATCCTCCTTTTCGGAGATAGTGTAGCCATCGCCCTTTTTCAAGGAAAATGACATCATCTCGTTGTGGACCAGGAACCAAGTTCCGGCACGAGCCTCACTACCACCTACAAGGCTCACATCTTTTTGGAATATCAAGACACAATAAGGACTAGGTATTACATATAAACTTATTATATTTATTAAACCATGTGCCTACAGAACGAATACTTATCGTTCAAAAAGTCACATGTTCCAAAATTTTATACACATTTTACACATGAAGTCATGACTTTGCACAAATGATTCAAATCAATCCCACACAAGCAAAACTCATTCCACATAAGAAATAACAGAGATGTATGCTTAGAGAATCATCCTTGCAAGGCTTGAAAAAATTATTATGCACATCAATTATCTTGCTCAAGAACGAAAAATAATGATAAAAATGACATCAACAAGTAACTCATTACAAGTGCATATGTGTTTGTCCATTACATGGAAAGTATATCTTACAAATACTTAATCATAAAATCAGGTTAGCCTGTGGTACCAGTGTTTGTTGAGAAAAGTAAGGCATTATCTAGTCCCTATGAACAAACTTGTTCAAGCGTGAGCCCGAAACTCAATCTCGCCCACATGCTCCATCCATCTCCTCAATCTCGTATGCCCCATGCTCTGTTTTCTTAATGATACGATACGGTCCCATCCATCGATTATCTAATTTCCTCGACCACTGCTTTTCAAGAGAAGAGTCATAGAGGAGGACAATATCCCCAACTTCCAACGGTTTCTTCCTAACCCGGGATTGCTTATCCCACCTAACTTTGTCCGCCCGTCTGCTGTCCGCAGTTGAAGTAACAGCCTCTACAACTCTTTCCTTAGCCGCCTGTATTTGTCTGGCCCTCAGGTCTAGCAACTCTTCTGTAGAAAGCATGGCCTTCATATCCTGTTTTTGCCATGTGGTCAGGAAACTCTCGATTGGAAATGTAGCATGTCGTCCAAACCATAACGTGACCGGAGTATACCCAGTAGTTCGTTTCACAGTTATACTTTCAACAAATATGGCAGCTCTGAGATAGACGGGCCATGCTGACGGCTTGCCAGCACACCATTTGGCTAGCAAATTAGTGAAGGTGGCGTGCCCACGTTCGACCGGAGCATTAGCCTGGGGATGTGCTCTAGTGGTGTAACTATAGTTCACTCCCAGTCTTTTCATAAGAGCCTGAACCTCTGCTGCCCGAAATTCGCCGCCTCGATCCATCACAAATTCCCGAACAAATGGGTACCGAAGGTAAAACTCTTCGATACACTCCGCCAAAATCTTTCCGGTTCGCTCACGGATTGCACGCCCATCAACAAACCCGGTAAGATTGTCTCTCGCATCAAAAATGTATCTGTACTCATTAAGTCTGGGTGGCATAACGACCAGGTCGAGGTGCACAACCGCCCCTGGCTCAACCACATATCGTGGATTAAGTGGCTCAGCATAGCGGAGATTCGAACATTTCTGACATGGAACGCACGAGCTGCAGAACTCTGCCACCATCTTACCCATACCATCCCAAAAATAGAGTTGTTGGATCTTTCTCAAGGTTACTCGTGCAGATCGATGTCCACCTGCCACTCCATCATGTAGGGCTGCAATCACATCCAACTGTCTGGGAACCCCACACACCACTCTCTTAGGCGTACTATCGTCAGACTTTTTGAAGAGATGCCCCTGTCGAACGACAAAACCCTTTGCCTTTTCTCTTATTTCTGGCTCTATCTCTGCCTCATTCAGGTCCCCATTCAACCAGAGCCCAATCTTCTTATAAGTCCCATCATATTCTTCCTCGCGAAAGGCTTCTTTGATCTCACCGCCTTCCCCTTCTTCCAACATTAACCTGCCGCGATCTTCCTGTATTAACGAATTAACGAGAAATACCATTCCCCCGGAGGTCCTGAGGACTTCGTCGCCTTGCTCATGTCCTACTTCAATCGTAAGTGGCTCTTCTAACAGCCGTACCGGATCCGACAATGCCAACCTCATAATTTGCTCAGCAGATCGTTTGCCCCAAGGATCCTCCTCAAAAAAGGGTTCCCTCATCACAAGCTCTGCACACTTTTGATAAGAACTCGGCGAACTCCAGATAGACTTCCCAGGTCGGGATGAAGCGTTACTGATGTATTCCCAAACATTGATACTCAGTTGTTGCTCATCCGTTTCCAGAAACCCATCCACAGGAACTGAGTCTTCTGCCTGATCTTTCGAGGAGTCCCACTCGATCCGACTCAATCCGTCGGCTCGATTTTGTGTTCCCGCAATACGCTCGATCTCGAAATCGAACATCCAAATATAGATCAACCATCGAGCAATAGTTGGATCCGAGGGAGAATAATTCTTCAATGACTGCGCCACGGCGGTCGGATCAACGCACAGGACGAACCGTCTTCCAAATACATAGTTTCAGAAGATCCTAAAGCAATGAAGCACTGTAAGGATTTCCTTCTTAAATTGGGAATACTTCCGTTCCGCCTCATTCAGCGTTCGACTTTCAAATCTCAATGGCCTTTCTCACCCTTCTCCATCTTTTTGGATGAGGACTCCACCCAATGCTGTGGGGCCTGCATCCGTCTCAACCACAAAGGGCCGATTCGGGTCATTGTCAAAGTACGGAACCCCTAGGATCAACCCTTCTTCTCGGAACTGTGCCTCGATGTCGTCGACTGCCGCCTGCTGCTTTGGACCCCATTTCCATTCTTGATTTTTACGCACCAACTTCCGTAGGTGCTCCACCCTTGCTGCGAACTTGCGAATGAAGATACGCCAGAATCCGTAAGTCTCCAAGAAATTGCGCACATCAGTGATGGACTTAAGCGGAGTCGGCCATTCCAGAATCTTGTTTGTCTTCTTGGAATCTGGCCGACGACCCTTCTCATTGCACAAGAAGCCCAAGATAGTTGCCTCACGCATACAATGCCGAGATTTGACACCGCTGGCGGTGAGTTTGTACTCCTTTAACTTGGACAGGACCTTACGAACGTGCTCCCAAACAAACTTTCGAACGCCTGGCAGCACCTCCGTCTCATCCTTCACGCGCGGCCCGGGTATGGCCAAGTCATCGATATAAGGTGAGGTCACGTCCGGACAAAGTGGCTGCATGACCCTCATCATATATCTCTGAACAATTACTACAGCGTTCGTCGATCCCTGAGGCGCCGAACACATATGAATTAATCCCCTCGGCGTATGCATGACCGTCATCGCCCTGTCTGCCGTGTAGAGAGGGAATTCCTCCGGCATCCCAAATCAATGAGAGTGATGATAGGTCTGTCTGCGCATGACTCGGACAGCTGATCGGCATGTGGAAGTCCTCCGGCATCCCAAACCGTCACTGAGTTCAGCTTCTGCAAATTCTGCACCCATCGCAATACGCCATTTGGCTTGATGAAACAAAACCAAGTGGACGCATATGGTTCATATGAGCAATCCGCGACCTTTGTCCGAATCTTACCATCCAAATATTCAACGACTCTACGATGATCATCCGGATTTGGATAACACGGACCTCGTATGTTCCACGGCTCGTGAGGTACCGTATGAACCCTGATCATTGGAATCAGTTCAACGTGAAGCCTCCCTCGCTCATCATCATCGAAGGCATAAGCCAGATGGGTTTTCTTCATGACGCTGACAAGGAAGTCCACCTCCTTCTCAGTAAGAGACCCTTCCTCTCCAATGATCATATTCTTAATCCTCTTCTCCGTCAATCGACATGGCGCCTTCACACTCTCTTCCTTCCTCATCCTGATCCACTCTCTTTCTTCTTTATAATACACTTCTTCTTCTTGCGTGATCAAGACGGGCACTGGCCGAGCTTTCTCGCCTACTCTCTTGTACTTACGTTTCGCTCCACCTCCAAGTCGTCCACCTCTAAAAAAGACCCTTGCTTGGCTTCTGGCTCCGCCAATGCATCACCCTCAGWAGACCTGTCGGGCCGATAGGTAAGATACATCCTACCAGTCCCGCCTTCTCCTGCCACAATCTCTGTCAATGTTTGGACCAACTTGGGATTCACAGACGAGTCTGTCGCAACGAACTCGATCGGTTGAGAGATGTTGGGTAGAGCAAGAGAAAATTCCTGGGGATCAGTCTCTTCTCCGAGGGATTCCTTCTCCCTTCTGAGTCTTTCGGATTCCGTGAAAGAGTAGAACCCCGGATTGAGTCGGTTCCTTGAGTTGGTTGGTCCTGTGTTCTCACACTTCAGCACCTCGTAATAGCCACATACGGGGTCACACAAAACCACGATCATAGTACCATCGTGCTTGTTAAAGATGATGGATTCTGATCGACATAGAAAAGCTCTGCCCAGCAACACAGCATGCTCAACCCTGGGTAGCACATAGAAATAAGAACGGACTTTGACTTTACCAACTTGTACCGTCACGTCACTCGCCGTTCCGCAAAAGGGAGTTATTCCACTTGCACTCACCAGAAATCCAGTATCTGCTCGATTGATGTTGACTCCTGCCCCCATGGCTTCTCTTTCCCGTATAATGTTCATTTCAGCTCCATCATCGATGAGAGCTGAATATTCGCATGGCCCAATTTGCACCTTCAACAACCCAGTAGCTACACAGTGTCAGTCCATTTTTGTCCCAGGCGGAGCCCAACTAATCTCTCGAGGAAAGATATCACTCATCTTAACCGTCATCACCTTTTTCCTTGACAGTCGGTGTCTGAACTCCTCTCGGATTTTCGGTGACGCGGCCAAGAATTCCTTGAGCGTGAACAAATCACGTTGGCTCTCCAGAATCCGGTCCATGATTTGCTCGATATCCAGCCCTTGCTCCACCGGGATTGTGTAAACTTGCTTCTTCTTTTTTAACTCACCTTCCCCAATATCGGCCTTGCCCGTTTCTGGCTCCCTCCCCATGGCTCATTGGTTGACCTGCCTCTCATCTTCGGCTCGCAGCAATTCATCCTCCTCGTCATCGTCTTCTTCAATCGAAATCGTCTCGGTTTTCCGAGGCTGACTTGGCCCTTCTTCCGGTGCTGCCCTTGGCCGCGACGACCTTCGAGCCCTCCGAGTTTGTGGGAGACCAGCAGTGGCAGGTCGCTTGAACGCAAGACGGGACAAGACCGTGGTGGCCATCAAACGCCCTGCCGACGGCGATCTAGGTTGTGGTGTGCTAACATCATTAAGACCTCCTTGGCCGTCTCTGTCCCATCCTCCAAACAGAAAAACTTGGGGAAGCCCGGGCCATTCTTCATTTATGTCGGCGCATATTTGAACAAAAGTTTCCCTGCATCGAGTCATTTTTCTGACCACTGCTTGAGCTCGCTGCAGTATTTCTTCCTGCTCTTTGCTCAACCCTTCATCCCCGGCCTTGGCATCCTCAATTGTCAATGACTCCATCGTCGCTTCCATCTCAATCTGTTCGACTTCTTCCGGAGAAGCTAGTCGAAAAGTTGCTGGAAGATCTCGCCCCATGCGTCGGAAAGCTTCCTTTCTCATTCCTCCCTCCACATTGGGATCGATGAGATTCCCTTCGAAGTCGTAGACCTTGCCTCGGATATTCGTATATATAACCTTATCGTTTTCATCTTTGGTAACGGTCTGACAAAACCGTATCCCATGTCCATCTTGGCCACAGTACTTGCAAAACCAATTCTGCCAATTGCCTCAGCCGCCCCATTTCCGCGGCCTCCCCCATTGCCTTGGCCTCTACCTCAACCTCGGTCCCGGCCTCCTGCCTGAGGTTGGGGCTGCTGAGGAGGGGCTGGAGCCGCCTGTTTCTGATCATTTCCTTGTCCACCTCCTCCATTATTCTTCCGCTGCTTTTTACTAGTGCCCTGCCCTCCTCGTATCTGGTTCAGGGCCTTCCGTTCTGCTTTGGTCAATTTTCGAGCGGGCTCCACTTCCTCCTCATCTTCCTCTTCGCTGCTGCTACTACTCACCTCCTCCACGACATAAGTTTTTCCCTTCCTTTTTTCACCTTTTGTTTGGACCATCATCACTTGCAACTTCAACCTTTCCTCCTTCATGTCAGCCATCATGTTCCGCATATCAGTCAGGGTCTTGTAAACAGCTTGATCCTTTTCCGCGCTTACCCCTTCATTCTCGCGGTCCTCCTTTTGCTGCTTCAGGAGACGGTAAAGCATCTGGTCGAAACTTCCCGCCAACAAATTCTCCTTGATTTTTTGCCAGTCGTATCGTCCGGTCATATCCTTCATCAGTTCTCGCTGCTCAACTTCTGAAAATTTTTCGAGGAAGATGAGGCACCGATCTTTATCTGGAAGGTCAGGCACTAAGCACGCAACCCGCTCAAACTCCGTAAGAAACTACTTGGCCGTACCAAACTTCCGACGACTAACCTTCCGTAAATCCGCCAGATTGAGCAGTTGATCCCCCAACTGGTACTTGTCCAACAATTTGGCCTTGAAGTCCGGCCAGTCGCGCGAAGCTTGCACCAACTCCAACACCTCCTCTTTGTACTCGACCATACAATATCGCTTCACCATTTGAAGCATCTTCTCACTCGACCATTTACAGCAATTGCCCAATTGTTCAAACTTGTCCGCCCATGCTGAGGCATTGGTGCCATCGAAGAGACAAACTTGAACCTTCGGCAACTGTGCCTTCTGATTATCAGCCTCACGAATGGCTCGTGCGAGTTCCAGAATATTGTTTCGACGATCCCCTGCATTACTATTTGCGGGATCAGTATTTCCTCCCGTCATCTTGAGAGAATCAACACGACAAACCCACATGTCCAAGTGTCAAATAGATCCCAACAATTCACTTCAAACCTTGCCTTCTTTCTTTTCCCAGACATTAATAACCACAAACTGCTTTCAATCCAAACAAATAATACACAATACTTAAAATCCCTATAACCATAATTTTTCTGAGCGTCGTTCCACCAGGGACGACGGTAGTTCGTCGTTTTCCCCAGCAACGGCGCAACCTGTCGAGCGCATCGGCCCCCGCGTAAGCGAGGGCCCTCCCAGCTATGTCGCGCATGAGTTAAAACCGACAAATCAGAGACAACTTAGGACGACGCATAAATAATCCCGCGAACCTCCGAGACGAACGCGATTGCATTGTCCCTTCGCCGCTCTAGCCGGGTGCGCCAGCTGTACATCCAACGGTCCCCTACGACAGGATAGGTTCTCGCGGGGCACATCTTACCTTCCCTAAGGGGTTGTCACCACCCTTAGGGGCGTATCCCTGCCGAGCTACCGACCCACGTGTGAAAGCTTTTACATGCAATTGCAGAGGTCGGTTAGCCGAGGGCGTTTGCTCGCTCGCTGGAGTATAGGTACGCTTGGTTAACGCCAAGTGGACCCGAACGTCGTCCGTTCCCGAGGGCGCTGATTTCCTCAGTACGAACGAGCATCGGTCGACTAGGACGGCCTCGACCAAACATGAAATCCTATGTATAATCCTAGTACCGTTACAATCTCATACTCATAAACAACATTTCGACTTGACGAGACGACCTGCCAAGGTTATCATTTCTTGCTTGGATGACCGGAGAGACAATGTTACTGTTGTCCGAAGACGGAAGATCCGTTACGCACAGCTTATATAAGTAAATACCGCTGGTACCATGCAGATCAACAAGTGATCTGACTCCTAGTCGGTGTTTGAACTCCCGGTTCGACCATATTGTCGTACCGCATACATCTATTCGGGGGAGCGACTGACAATTCTGTCGGTCGATTCGTCCTCCTAGGCAATAATTACTCTCTCCGTTCCACGAATGACGAAGTACCCATCCCCAACACCAGATACTCGGCATGGAGATGTTTCATCTCCTAATACTTCGCCCTCGCCCTTTTACTCGACACCTTATCAGGTGTTCGGTTTTTATTTTGCTCGACTCATTTTTCAGCGATCGATTACCCCTCAATGCATAAGCATGATAGTGCCATCATCGGGGTAATCCAGATACTATCCATCTGGTTGGCCTACCTACTCAAGATTGTTGTTTTTTTTGTTATTATTGCCCTTGTAGAGTCACGTAGATGTGGCCCTACAAAAGAACCACTTACCACTGCACCTGACTCGAGTGGGTGCGCTCAGCCAGGATAAACTTGTCGGCCCTCACGGGCCTCTACCTCTATCCGGTCGAGTCGCGTAAGCTCCTCGTCATCAAAAGTCAAGGTGGAGACACGTCCGCCTCGCATAACTCGGACCTTCCGTGTATCATAGAGAGAAACGACCCGTGAGGCGAACCTCCAAACTATGGCGCGAAACGGTTGGCGCATCCGAAACAGGTGCGTGGTAGTGGTTTCTTTAATCCGGATGATGCCGTAGCGCTCCCCGGATAGGGTAATTTTGACGCTCACAATGACCCGAGAAAGGCATTGGAGGTCGCTTGTGCGTTGGAAGTACAAGGTGTATCTGTGAACTTCGTCCGGAAGTCGGGCCACATTGGCACGAACATCTGCGCGCGAGTTAGGGAAAATCCACTGCCCATCACTGAGCAGGCCGATAAATCCAACCCAACGTGTGGACACTCCATCTCGAGCCAGTAATAGTCGCTCCGCTCGCCGGATCAGCTCCTCGTCCGTAGTGTCGCGAATCAGTAGATATCTGGCCTGAGTGAAGTCCCGCCRTCCGCTAGGCATCTGCATACCGAAGAAGCCACCTGTTAGAAGAGGCGCTCGTAAATTTCACAAGCCTCGTCATAAAACGCGGTGACGTCGAAGCGTTCTGAGCGAATGATATTAAATTTATTCGCTTGGACCCGTCTCACATGATGAAGGAGGCTGAATGGTCCTTGCAGATCGTTCAAATGGAGTACAATATGGAAGAACATCCCCCTAACCTCAAGAATGTTCTCTAATTCTGGACAGTCCTCGTGAACCACAACTAAGTTCATGTCTCCGTAATCTCGTGATGGATTAGGAGGCGCAAAGTCATATCGTACAATATGTTGGCCTGACTCGACCAAGAAAATATAACTCCGCGGTAGTTTCCTCGCGCTCCCTTCCCAGAATCGTGGCACGTCTCGTTCCGAGTAAACCTGTAGAGGGTTGTACRCCAGCCTTCCTTTCCGTATCATGCCGGCGCGGGATCGTGTCGGCACCGCTAACCAATTAGCCGCCGCCTCGCGTGTGCCGAACAATCGGAGAATCACTGTCTCCGCAAGCATCTGGACGACGAAGTGGTAACTTTGTCAAAATAACTCAAATATACTCGTTTCCATGTTCAATCTTTACTCCCCTTTTCGGGCCGTGATTCTTGTGTCACGGTCCGTCCGCGAAAGTAGTGCCTATTTGCACTTCTTTTAACTCTAGTTGAGCCACGGGCTGGGCTTCTTATGGCGCCGGCCCTCCCACGCGTTGGTGGCTCCTAAGGCGGCCACCCAACARGRTACTAGATTCAGCCTCCCCTTTTCCCRAAAGCACGAGGAGGCGACTGCTCCTAGCTTCAAGACACCCTACCCTCTAGGAAGTGGTTTGGAATACCCCTCCCCCTCGCCCGAACACACTGTTCAGGACTCAGAAGTTGGGTT